AGAGAGAGAGAGAGAGAGAGAGAGAGAGAGAAAGAATGAGAGAGAGAGAAAATGAGATAAACCGACAGACGAAAAACAGAGACAGACACATAAAACAAACAAATAGAAAAGAAAGACAAACAGAAAGACAGAGAAGGAGAACGAATAAGGAGAAGAAATTCTTTGTCTTCTGTTACCGTCACAAAAGACAGACAGAGAGACAGACAGACGGACAGACAAGGCTCCCGTGGTCTAGAGATTGAGGTGTTCACCTCTCATTCAATAGGTCGTAGGTTGGAAACCTGACATGGACGCGATTTTTTTTCTCTAAAATTGTCTCCTTTCACATCCTTTCCTGTTCTCTAACAATTATGTTCTGTCGTCTGTTTTCATCTCCACTTTTTGCCCCCATCCCCTCTTTTGTCCCCTCCTTTGGCCCGTTCTTTATCCCCTCCACTGTGATCTTGACTAATTCTGCAGCCTTTCTACTGCTACTCCTTGGCTCCTTCTTACTGCTGTCTTTCAGCCATACCCCTGATTTTATGGTCAGAAAGATATGCACCTAGCCTTCACGGACAAGGGTGAACAATCTCGGAGGTCCCGTGTGCAAGTTGTGCACGTTAAATATCCTTTGGGGGTCCGAAATTGAAAAGAGTGGGCTTTGGCCGCTATGCGGGGAAAATTCAAAAATTAATTTCTATCAAACTGAAAATAATTTTGTTGCTTTGATTTGTAGAGGGTTTTACGGCGCTCGCAACTGTATAAGGTCATATGAGCGCAAAGGGGTGGGTGTCAACAGAGAAGTCTTTACAAGGAATCAGACTTACTCTGCTCACCACTCTAGCTTCACCAGCACAAGGTCTGCTTCTACTATCAATATACCCCAGAAATAGCGGGTCACAAGAGAGTGGCAAACATACCAAAGAAGTAGAGGGAATGACAATAGTAAGGATTAGGAAAGAAAAAGCAGCAGTTCTCTGTTGTAGATCAGGCACAGTTATGAGCGTGACATGATGAGTCAGCCCATTTACAACTCTACTGTGCTTAAACGAGAAATGCACCCCTTTTGGGAATGGCTTAAAGACACTACAGTAAGTCGCACTGTCGGGGGGG